GGATGCCATTGCCGAGATACGGGAGTTATTGTACGATGGTTTGCAACAGGCACACCGACGTGATCGACTAGATTTCGGCCACTTTGGCGAGGATCCTTATATGGGGGTAGATATTACAGTGCCATCAATGCCGCACCCGAATATGCCATCCACTGAGCCATCGACATCAATGCCATCGACATCAATCCCTCCACCGCATCCTACCGCACGTCATGCACATCAATCGGACTATTTCGATATGGAACACTTTGGTGAGGGGCCTTCCATGGGCCTGTCCCCTCATGGTCCATCTACAGCAATGCATACACCGCTGACTTCCCCACCTGAATGTACCAATTACACATCCCAGTTTGCCCCTGAGGTAGATCCTCTAATGTCTGAACATACTTCCACACACCATGGCCATATATTGGACCCCTCCTGGTCACCACCCCCATATAGGACAGCAGTTGGTACCCCGGTGACTCCCTTAGCACCACTGTCTACTGCATGTCTGTCTACTATGATTCCCTCTGCATCGACATTGACCGCACCCGACCCTTTGACCATACCATCATCTCCTACCCCACCATCATCTCCTACACCACATATATCCTTCACCTACCATGTTGATCCATTCATTACCCATGACTTCCACATTGACGGGGAGGGGGAGGGCCAGGTCCATGCACCTACCAGAGGGACACGTAGGGGTAGAGGCCGAGGGCGAGGGCGAGGGCGACGCCGAGCAATAGACCATGACAATAATGCAGCGGATGATGGCGCTTCACAGCTTAGTGCCGTATGTGAAGGTGTGCCAGAGGTGGTATCAAATGATTGTACTGCAGCCATTGGTGATGTGCAGCCAGCTTCTATAGAAGCGGGCGAGGGAGTCGTACGTGCGGCAGCGCAAGATATACTGAGAGTATATAGTAAGAGACCCAGGAGACAAACCCATGGAAGGGGTTGTGGAACAGGAGGAAAATTAGGACATTAGGAACAACCGACATTGGTAAGTATATTCAAACATCACCTACCAGGTTGTGTTTTCACTTGGATTAGTCTACATTGTTTAAATCAACATTAGTCTACATTGTTTAAGTTGTGGCTTGTTATATAGTTCTGGCTTTTGGCTTATCTTATCTTGTAATTGTGGCTTATTTTATAAGATTCTAGATGCTGATGCTGCTACTATTGTTGTTACTGTTTTGAAGGAAGGGGTAGCTGCTTGCTGTGTTGCTGGTTGCTGGTTGCTGGTTGCTGGTTGCTGGTTGCTTGCTGCTTCTTCATTCTGGTTGCTGCCGGCTGTGTGTTGCTGCTGCTGGCTTGGATCAGTGAGCTGATAATTGGGTATGAATTTTATGGTCTTAAAATAGCTTTGGATGTGTTGCAGCTCCCCACTATTAGCTAAAGAAGTCAATGAATTGATAGTTTAAGCACTAAATTGAAGCATGTTCTGAACATTTGGAATACCTATATTTTCTATTTGTTTAGCTACTTCATGCATAATTTGCTTATTGAAAGTGGCAACATTTTTCACTGCCTTTTGATGTTTGCAGTGACATGAAGACTGTGTAATTATTATAAGCTCTAAAGATAGCGACAACACAATTTCTGATGTGGAAAACGCACGCCGTCAAATAGCCAGTTTGATTCTCAAGGTGATGTAATTTCTCAATATGTAATAAAGCTGTGATGTATTTGATGTGCTCAATTACAATGATGTGATGGTTATCATTTTTTAAAATTGTTATGCACAGTTATCATAATCATACCCATGTTCATTAATGGTGTGAGTTTAACACATCATGCATAAGAAAGAAAATGCATATATTTTATCATGCAATCTGTAAAGGCCCCCAGTCAAAGTAATGAGTTTTCATGTATTTGCTAATTTTACAATATATGTGCCTCATGGTCCATCCATTGTAGCATCACAATGAACAAATGCATGTGATATGCACCTTGATTTCTTCTTTTTTCTTTTTCTTTTTCTTTTTCTTTCTGAATTTAAATTTATAATGTTTCTAATCTATTCAAATTTGAAACCTCTCCATATATATATATATATATATGATGGTTATGTAACACAGCTACCATTACCTTACAGGTTCGTAGAGTTGCGAGGGCATATCACATGGCAAACGCTACCCATATTACACGCGATACTAGAGAAAAATCGGATGCCATTGCCGAGATACGGGAGTTATTGTACGATGGTTTGCAACAGGCACACCGACGTGACCGACTAGATTTCGGCCACTTTGGCGAGGATCCTTATATGGGAGTAGATATTACAGC